CAGAACATGCTTCAGAACAAGAAAAAACAAGATTCAATCAAAACGGTAAATTTTGGAAATTAATATCAACATTTCTTATGATGTATTTATGATTATTATTATTATTATTATTATTAGTAATAATTTTGCTAAAATAAAGTTCACAAATAACCAATCTTTTACATTGATTAATAATAAAAACATATTTCTAGTTGTGTTTCCTCTCCTTTGGTCGCAAAAAAACTATTTTTATATTTCTCAATTAAATTGTTTTGAGTTTCAATTTGTAAAGAGTTGCAAGGGTTAAATCCCTTGAAAGTGTCCCATGGTGCAAGTTTTGCCCACTCACAGATTGCGTCTTGTTCAAAATTATGCCCTCAGTGCAGTTTCATGCTGAGAGGGCGTTCCATTGCAGATAATTGAATTATTACCCGATATGATTTGCTTCTTTTCTATAAAGGGTTTCCTGATGTTTCTATTTAGATGTTAATATGGAAGGCATATGGGAAAATGCATGTATGAGAAATTCCCATTATGTTATACAAAGTAAATTGTATTCTTGCTCGATACGTGAAGCAGTTTTTTTTATTAAACGTGGGGGTTTTCAGGGTTCTATTTTTAAAAGTGTTAAGAATTGAGTTTTCAATTAAAACTTTTAGGTCCAGTGAAAAGTATTTTTGAAGCGTTGCCAGACATTCCGTATTTTATTATTTTTTGTTCTTTGCTATGAGAACTGTTGACGTGAATTAACTATTTAAATGAAAATTTGCTATTATTTGAGTTTCCGATTATGAGATATCGAACCATTTGAAATTAGATAATTGCATACATAATTTTCTATTTAAATAGGTAAATTAATTCAGGATACTTAATAATGGAATTTAAAGCTAAAATTATAATTTATATATAAAAATACATCAAATCTTGTCAATCGTATTTAGTGTGCGTTTGTTAATTATTATGTCTATATATATTTATTCGGTGCTATTTTATTCCATCCAGGTTTTTGTATGAATTTAATTTCGCCATAAATCTCTGCTTTCAAAAAATATCAATATTCAAATATTGCACTAAATACAATAAAAAGGAAAAAACCTCAAGGCTGGACAATAAAATTTTTCAATTAAGGTATGAAAAAAGTTCTGTTAAACAATGCAAGAAATCGAACTTTTATGCTTTAACTTATTTAAGCTAGCAATAAATTTAGATTGTTTCACCATTGAGTGAAAGACTGAGCTCAGTTCTCAAAAAAGTACCTATTTCAATTTTGAGCTTTTAGGCAGTTCACTACAAAACTTTGCACTTCCTCAACCCTAATAAATTTAAAACTAAACTTCCATAATAGCGTTAAAAATCCGACTGTTCTTTTGAATCAAATACTTTTGAACAATTATTAAAAAAGGAACATAACATTTTTGAACCAAAGAATGGAGGATTGATGGATTTAATAAAGCTTTAGTATTTTATGTATTTTTCATACCCTTTCTTTCGTTGTTAATAGCGGAAAGAAGTTAATAGGAGCGCATTTTCCGCCAATTTAACCATTGTCGCATTCGCGCCCACACAAATAAATCTGAAAAGGTAACAATTATACGGTATAGACGTGGGTGCTGGCTACCCTACTTGTGTTGCCCTAATTTAGCAGCTATTAGGACATTCATCCAGAACAGGAAGTGACCATTTGACCTAATGTTATAGTTTTGTGAAAGAAGGTGAAGTTGCGCAATAAAAACTCTTTTGTCCAATTCGCTTAAGGAATGATATCGTTAAAGGACGTGTCAACTGATATATTACTAGGATTTAGTTTGAATATGTCAGTCGAAAAGGACCGATACCGGGTGTTTAGTAGCTGAATGCCTGATTTATGCCTGGTACAGACAACATCAATAGAGCGACAGGGAGAAATCTAGTTTTGTTTCTGTTGTGTCATTTGTAAGAACTGCTGAGCTATTTTAAATAATTCGCAGAATTACCGGAAATATTGGATTTGGGTCATGTGTCTTTTAACACACTGCATATCAGTTTATTTCAATAATTATTATACATATACATAAGCTAAGTTATTTTTTCCCTCTTACAGGAAAAAAAGACGTTAACGTGGACACTGTTTATTACTAGAAGAACTAGGTATGAAAAGGGCTAAGTTTGCATAGAATCGAATAATCACTCATTTTCATTTTCATTTCAATAAAATAATAGTTCTCGTCATTGATGCCATCAGAGTGCCATTCAGTTTGTTAAACTTCTTCAAACTTTGAAGTTTGACTTAAAAAAATGGTTAAATGGTAAGAAATAATATTTGAGTTTATAATTTTGAATCTGTTAGTAATTGCAGTTATTTTTTCCAAATTTACTAAGCATTTTCATAACGGGATTGAATATTTTGCTTCCGGGACTATGCAAAAATATCTGAGTTTCCTGCAATTCAACGAGGTTTCATCTGTAAATCTCTGGACGTTTCTCATAGTAAAAGGATGAATAATTATTGATTTAATTTATACGGAAACTAAAAACTTCGGGCAATTTGAGCCTAAAAATCACAAGTGGTTTCGAATAATTCCCGATGCGTTCAGTTGTCTTTAAAAGTCTTTTGGTTCTTATTATCGAAGTGCATAAGTAAATATACCGGGTGATCTGTCTAATTGGAGACTTTATCCCGTTTATTTCAGTTTTTGTTGACATAAAGTTGTAAGCAAACCATATTTTAAAATTAGTTGAATCTTGAATACAGAGGGCAGTAAAAAGTTGCATATTCGAAAAATCCAAGGAATCTTAAACAAATGTATATAAAAATAATTTATTAAGAGTTATGAAGACATTTTTAACAAAGAGTCTTACTTACTCTTATAAGGAAGGTTATACTTTTAACTTTAAATGAATTTTGCCACTGCGATATTGACAATTTGGAAGTGCGAGTGAGTTAGATTGGAATGAATTTGATTGAAAATGTTTTTGTTTTGATTCTCATGTTTTTGTCAGATGATTTCATACCAGAGAAGTTTTTACTGTTTATATATCCATTTAAAAAAAATGTTTCAAAATGTTTGTTTTGTTCTTTCATCTCTGTTATTGGTTATTTTTTTGTGTCTTTCTTTTCAAAGGAAAACATTGGAATAAATAAACTATTCTAATCTATTAAACTCGTTTTCTGCGATAGGAAATACAAAGGTAAATTTCCATAAGGTCCAATACGTATAGAAAATGTTATCCTCTTTATTTAAACCCAAACAAAATCAACATCTAAAATTAACCATCCTCAGCTAAATGCGATGAACTACCCGAATGTCAAAAGTTTTAATATAAACTGATATTTTATTGGAAAACAACGGTTTGTATTACAGCCGTTCATAAATCGAAAGTTAACAAAAATTATTATAATTCGTAAGTCTAAACACACACATAAAAACAATACAATTAGAATTCCGGGAAAATAAAACTAATTATGAATTAAGTGTTAAAAATCTTTTTCTTCCTGATCCAGAGATAAAAATATAGTTTTGCCAAAATCTTGTTTACCTGTTTGTGCAAAATGCACTTTAAATTCAATCTTTCATTTTACCATAAGTGGTAGTAAAGGATTAATAAAATATGAAAATCATTATATCAATTATTTTTGTGGTACTTTTCGCTTTTGCATTGAGAACTTAGTACTTAGTACTGACTAATTGACACAAATCCCATGGGATTCATGAAATATGAATTTGCCCAAACAAGTTTTTCGTTACTATATTTTTTAAAGAAAATGATTCAACCCTAACTTTTATTTGTTTACATAATTAAATAATTAATAACAATTTTTTTAACGTATCAAAATTAATATCATATTAAGTTCTAGAATGATCCTTTTGGTAAAGTCGGAAATTAGGTGGCAAAAACTATTCAGACGATCGACAATTCTTTCAAAATTGTCCCATAATTATTTAATGCATACTACAGCCGATTCTCATTTTCTATATTGTGGTTCACTGAATATTACCTTTATTTGCCATACGCAATACAAAAAAGTAATCATGTAGAGGGTATTTCCACAAAAAACATAAGTTTGGTATAAAACCCTTTATAAACAGTTAGTTAACAAAAAGAAAGCGTTCCAGCGGCAAATTTGACCTAACTTTGGTACGGGATAACTTCTGATTGCTGCGAGCTATTTGATTGCGGTTTGAAGCCTTATCTAGAGCAGTTTTTTTCCTGTCAGTGTGTGCTTTTGAAAAAAAAATTGTACTTCAGGTAAAGTTTCTACAGGGCGGAGAGTCGTTTTTTTTTTTATTTCAACACCAGAAGTATAAAGATAGGCCGGATATCTCAAAACTCTTTTGAAATTTTCGTCATTTTTAGCCTTATGCTGATAACATTTTTCCTGTTACATCGATTTTAAAGCTGACACTTTATAGTCGAATTACGACCAAAAATTCATATACAGAGTTGCATCAAATGTTGCCCAGATCAAAACCGCCCCCGAAAACCGGGAGTCTGGCAGACTTTCAATTAGGGTGAAGTTTATTTTCAAATATTCCGTTTATTTGTGCCGTCCTGTATTCGGAACTTTTGCCTTAACTCGACTATAAAGTTTTAGCTTTAATATGTGCTTTAAATTTTGCGAATTGCCTCGAAAAGTAGTCATCGACAGAAAAATAATTGGGCTAGTTAACGCCTAGAACCGAAACAAAATCGCTTGCAGCAATCCGAAGTTATCCAGTTCCAAAGTCAGGGCAAATTTTGTTGTTTGTGTTATTTAATTATACAGCACAAAATTTTTTTTGATAAAAAATGTCTCCATTTTAAAGTCCGCTTTAGTTTTGCGACTCGAAACGAGTGTAATTACATGGCATTTTTACGTGTTCATAATTTTAATCACGTGTGTGCCAAATGTCTGAATTTGGGAAAGTGCCTGGCTGGAGGGCAAATGATGGTTTTTTTTGCTTGTTCAACACTTACATTTTCTGACTTTTTTTCCCCATTTTTATTCTGCGACAGTTCAGCATTTATCATTCCTCACATTCTAAAGTATCTTCTTGTTTCAGGTTAACATCAAATCAAGTTTCATTATGAATGGAGTGTGTGTAAGGTGGCGCGGTTATGTCGACGTGGAGCGCTTGGATGGAGTTGGCGCGCTAGAATTTGATGAGGAATCCGCTATGAGAGAAGATGCTCTTCTACGGGATCAAATGGAAAGATACACCCAACGGCTAAGAGAATATGAGGATAACAAACCTCGATACCGCCTGGATAGGCCTGAGCAAGAAGAGGTACGTCACCCTCAAAGCTCTCATTTAGCGCCTAATGCTGCTGCTATGAATGTGCCGCGAGCGTATATGAAATTGTACTAGGTAGATTTTAATGTTAGTTTTTATTTTTAAGAAGATTTTTAGTTCTGATTAGAATGGCTGAACGGAATAAAATAATTTATATCAGCTTCGAATCAAGAACTGTTCTCATGTTTACTCTGATCGCAAATAGGCTACAGTAGAATTTAATTTATCCGCATTGATTAACAGTTTAAAATGACCAAATGTTCAATTATCAGTAAAATTTGCAAACGTTAGCGACACACAAATATTGAGTAACGTTCAGAACCGATTTGTATTCATGCTCAAAATGCATTACTTATATTAAACTAGACATTTACATTTTATTGTATTCTGTGCTTTCTGTGCAAATACAGCACTAACTTTATTCGCAAGTTACCTAATTTATGATTGCATCTCTTTCCAATACGAAATATTATTTTTATGTCATCACTTGTTAATTTTCACTGTTGAACAACATCGCGTTCTTCTTTATGTCTAATTTTGTTTTTTGCTAGTTCCGCGTTTTAGTATGTTAATGACATACTGAAACAATTTATAATGTAGATCACACGATTACTTTAATTACCAAGATTAATCATGCTTTTTTCTTTGTTTTAAATTACTCTTAAATAATTATGACCTTATCCTTTGAACCTTAAACTTGATTTTACTATTCTGTTTTCTTTTACTTCATAATAGCCCAAGAAAAATAGGTGCTTTATTTTTTGCCACTGATAAACCCAAAAAACTTAAATAGGGATCTTCTACCAATTACCATCTCGGTCACCAACAAACAGGCAACATTGCTTTAAATATTTTGTCCAGCAACATTTTCAATATCTTGAAGAAGGTACTAGTTGTAGAAGAAAATCACTAACTTTTTCACGTCGTTAGTACTGAGGCTCAATCAGAATAAGTTTAAGGAAAAACCATATGGAAAAATGACAAATTAATAAAAGATAAGTTGACGAGATACTTGAGGAAGGCAATTAAGACAATTGGCTTTATTTGGTTTAACGCTTAATGCAAATAAATAATTTTCTCTTATTATTGATTACGACTTTCAAGCGGACATGTTTTCTTTTGGCAAAATTAAAGAACTTTTGACCCCGTCAACGTACAAGAAGTTGACACGGGATCCGACGGCACGGATACTAAGAACAACGAACAAATTAATTAAGGATATGATATTTCCATCCGAGGAGTTGGCAAAGCTCAAAAAATCAGAAGCACTCCCACCAAGGCTCTACGGACTGCCCGGAAAACATTCCTAAATGTAATCGATTGCTTTATCAATATGCCATCAAAGATCTGGCAGATCTTCTTGATGTTTCAATAGCTTTTGGAAGGAAAATTTTCATCTTATACCAAAAGAACATGAATATATTGTTCCTACTTGAATATTGATGAATTGAATATTTATAGTTCCTACTGAAAGTCATTAAGTATAATTAAAAACATTTATAATTATTTTCAAACCTTTTCGTATGGGAAACATAAATATGGAAATTGATAATTAAATTGAAATCCACAACATTCATTATATTCATGAAGCGAATTATAGGAAGTCTAAAAACACATCTAAATTAAATAGAGAATTTCACCATTAAAATAGTTTGTTGAATCTCAATAGCGAAAATTAGTATACCAAAAACTTTATTTGATTTATTTTCAAATAAATGTAATCGTAAGATCTTAAATTAACGCCGAACTTCATCATATTATATTGTAAGTACCAAAGATTTATTATTATAGTTTGTTTAGTCTTAATATCCAAATACATGTGTATAAAACTTTACATATAGAACAGTACGCTAATGCCATCCCTGCACTAGATACATGAAGGATTTGGAGGAAATAGAAAACATATTTTATCACCAATAGAGTTATAAACAAAAATTGTTTATACTTTGTAAGACATTGTGCTCCAGCAACATTTAACTATCATTCTTTAAATGTTCGCCTGGATATCATGATTGTCTAGCATTTAATTCAAGAACAATTGAGCTAAAACAATTAAGTATTTTAACAGGAAATATATTTATTGAATATCTACGAATAATTAATTGTGCACTTGTTCGTCTAATTAACACAAAGGCTTTATTTACTATGTTCGTTTTACATAGTGTTCACATCATTTCGCAAAGCAATTTTACACAGAATTTTATTTCATAATTCAGATAGATTTTTAAAAGTTCACATGGCGCCTGAACGTTACTGTTAAAAAAACGTTGCGATTGCAATGGCCGATGTCCTCAGCCGTTATTTTTCTACTTTGTATTTGTCGTCTGAGAACCATCATTTAGTTTTAATTTAAGCCTAGTTTGCTGCATTTTGGAATTACTTTTATTCTACTTATATATGATTTGCTTTTAGTTGTAAATAAGTATATTAAGTACGAATAAGTGTTTTGTGCAGTTTAGTTTTAATTGTATAAAAGAACCATTGTTAAATTGCATCCAGTGCTGCGATATTTTACTTGTATGTTTTATTAAATTTTTTTAAAAGCTATTTTATTTTTTATTTCTCTATTTTGCCTGATTTTCCTCGCTGTCTTGCTGCCATATTACATAGCTTGGGCGTATTATTTCATATGTGAAGGATTTCTTTTATGAGCTGCAAGCCCCCAACAGTTATAAGTTTAGGTTTGGAATATTTATAAGCATTTTTGCACTAGTAAAAGTAAACGGAACGGAACAACGGAACTTAAGGACAACTTCGGCAGAACATTGGAAAACATATCGGCGTTCAAGGCGAAATTGTTGACATTAATGCAGGACTTTGCTTTTCAAGAAAACATCAAAGTTGAAAAATTACTTTTAGTGTTTAAGCGTATTTTGTGATTTTGCCTTTAAAACCGAATCAAAATTGATTAATGATAATTATGAATAAAGTTGATTTTTTAATTCGTAAATGCAGTGCTTCTCACCCTAGAGTGGTATTCTTTGAAATTTGGAATCTAACCAAGTGTCTTAATTTTTTTAGTGTGGAACATGAGAAAAAATGTAATTACACACTTTCAAGTAATCTTAGAAAACCAGGATTTTAACTGTTTAATTGTTGCTTGGACTTCAATGTTGGGCTTTTTTACAGGGTGATTCAAGATTGGCGTCATTAATCCGGTAAGAAGTAAACACAATTGAAAGCAATAATTCTCACATTAAAAACATACGAGAAACTTCATGTGGAAATAATCTAAGAAAATATTGGAATCATAACTGTTTGTGTAAGATTCTACTTGGCTACTACAAGCCTAATTTGCCCTAATAAGTTTTTTTAATCCTTCTATATAGAAGGAACAGGTGAAATTAAAAAGCATATTGAAAAAGCGGTTATTTTTGAACGGAAGTGGCAATTCGAATCAGTTGAGAATCATCAACAATCTGGGGTCCAGTTGCTGCAACTTTCACTTCCTTCGTCAACTTCAACTTCACTTTTGCCGGCGACTCCATTTGCTTCTCATAAGCAGCACACCGTGTATTCCACACCTTTTGTGTATGTTGAAGATTGGATCTGGTTAGCGTCGTCACAAGGAAGGTAAAGAAAGTTTATACATCGTCATTTGTTATACATTTCAAGTTTTGAGAAGCACAATAAAAACTTTGAGTCATTTGAGTCTATGCAAGTTTTGCACTGTTCAATAGAACATAAATATACCATTGTTTACTCTAACTAATTGCTTATAAGCAAAGAAGAAAACGAATCTTCAAGAGTGCAAATCTTTAAAAAAATTTAATTTTTTCAAGAAATCGCCAGCAACCTCCTAAAGGGATTGAGGCCAATTTTGCTTCACCCTGTATAACAAGGTTAGCATCGTAGTTTTTTTAATAAACATCATCGAAAATAAATATTCGATATATGTATATTTGTTTGGTCGGTCCGATGCCACTTGTATCATCCGTTCAACCCTTATTAAATTTTGTAGTGAACATTTTCATAACTTTTAAAATTGCCCAGATTTGAGTGGAATCCGTTTTTATATTATCAAAACGATTGTTTGAAAGAAAGTAGTCGTGTCGGAAATGGAGGAATTTCGGATAATTTATCCTTACATAGATAGACCGAATATTGTATCGTTGTAATACAATTTTTAATTAATAAATTGTTTGAACATTTGTGCAATTTAAAAATTATGCACGCATAAAATCAATATAAACAGCTTAGTGAAATTTTAATATTGTCTATATTTTAAATTTATCTAACATTTTCATTTGTTTAGTGAGCTTATTTGGATTTAGTGTTTGGTTGGAATGCAGTTGGAATCTCTGAATATCATTTTATGTACTTAGAAAAGTTTAATGTACCAAATAGTCTCGGGTGCCGAAAAGCCTTTTAGAACGTCGTTTTCTTCTTGAAGGTCTTCCGACAATAACTTAAGCGGTAGTAAATCGCATGCTTTTCGTTTACTACAATTTAGGATAAAATATTAAGGCCACATTTAGCAACATTTATTTGATGTTTAAAATTTATCAGTTTAAATAACCTAAACAGATAAAATGCATTTCAATTTAATTTAGGAGCGTTCCAGAACACCTTCAAAAAAATTTCTAAAAAGTTTGCTTGCTCAAAGCAAACTTCCCGTAACTTTTTAATTTATATCACATTTTATAATTTGTATAAAACTAAGGGCGTCAAAATACACAATCAAAGGTAAAAAACGAATAGTGTGTTGTTTTTTATATTATGTAATTTATCGAAATTAAAGTAGGAGCGCGACTGGACAGTTCACTTGTTACTTCCCTTAAAACGCATCAATTCGCATTCCCACGATAACATCAAGTATCGTGATGGATATCCGACTTTAAAGGTTGAAACCGCTTTCGTTTGACAATGGAGAACGTTTTAAGAAACTGCTGGCTTTTAGGCAAACTGAAATCTCTTAATAACACCTTTTACGTCAGATTTTGTGCAATATATTTACAGGGTGGACAGGGTGAGCATGTATTGAATAGTTACAA